AACTGGAACGTGAGGAGGCGCTGGCTGAGGCTGCGGTTCTCTGGCCTCCCGGCAGGGGGCGCTGCCCGCTCACAGGCATCCCCAACCCGAAGAGCTAGAATCCAAAGCAGTGAGCACATAGACATACAAACACAGACCCGTACGTCTGTGCGTGTGTGTGTGCGCGTGCGTGCGTGTGTGCGTGCGTGCGTGCGTGTGTGTGTGAAGCCCGGTCCTAAGAGCCGCTGGGATGCCATTGTGTGATTTCATGCATTCATTTGGTTTTCAGAATAGCTTCCCAACATCTGTCATTCTGTGTCCGTGAGGTGGACTCCGGAAGCAGGAAGTGCCGCTGCCGCTGCCACGCGCTGAGCCACGCCCTGCTACGGTGGGCAGGAAGGATCCCCCCCCCTTTGCTTTGTCAACTAATTAAAAATGTGTTACTCATCATTTGGTTAAAAAAAAATGAAGACTGCTTTTTGCAACACAGCTAAAAACCTTTGTTTGGTCTATGGTTTTGCTCCTGAATATTCTTTTATTAGTTGTTTCTTATTTTTGATTACCAATGCCCCTAGCTTGTAATCATCTTGGAGTTTGGATTATTTAGTTTCATGTATGTTTTTGTAATGTTTTGAACTTCTAATAAAGGAAAATATTTTTTTTAATGGCTGCGCCTGGCCTTGCTGTCAAATGGTGAACAGTTTCTGTACATACCTGAAGGATATAGTTTCTCTTAAGTGTTTAATACTGAGGAGAAAATACCTGTTACCTGTTAATACCTCACTAATCAGAAAAATGAGGCCAGACAAATATTTACAGTGTAAAATAATTCCCATGAAATTTATGATTGTTATGGGTGTGCCAAAAAATGTAGTCATACAAGAATTGTAATTCTCGGTTTCTATCTAAAAATCAAACAAATCCACTGGCTGTGGGCCTCCATTTTCTAACTACACTGTAAGAAGAATCTCCAAAGATGGAGCCAAAAGAGAAAGATTCAACCAGCCCCTTCGTTGAAGCCAAAGATTTGAACTCATTCTTGGTTTCCACAGAATCCCGGGGAAGACTTCAGAGAGCTGTCACAGCTCGAGACAGAACCTAAAAGAAAGCTCGCTAGTGCCTTAACCTGAGTACCTGTGATGCGTGGACATTGTGATTGGCATTTGCCTTTGAGATAGAAGGCCTGGAAATCTCATTAAATTTGTACCAAATCACAATAAAATGAGGGGAAACCCTCTAAAAGTCTTGTCAGTTCTTTAATGTATCCTCTAAGTGACTGGTTGTCCCCCTGGATTCAGAGCTGAAGAAATGTAGCATTGTTCTTATTTTCTGCTATCAGTTAAAAGCATTCCTGGCTTCATGAAGGGCTTTCATAGAAGTTATCTTTCCAAACTGAGTCTTCTAAATGAGTTAAACACCATATTATTTCCATTTACTGCAGCAGGACGGAAGCTGCAAAGAGTCTAAACTGAACCCTGGTCTAAACCCTGCGCTGTACAAAACAAAGTCCTTTTTAGTGGGAGATTTGTTTTCACAAACAATCTTGCTCAGACCTAGTCCTCTCAAATATCAAAAATCAATCCCTTTTTGCGTTTACAAATAATGGAGATCGACTCATTCAGAGTCTGAGCTTGTTCTTTACATCAGGTCACATGTTCATTGATGTTCCTTGTTGGGGCTTTAGTTAAGAACCGGTGACAGTAGAAATTCGTTGATGGCTCACAATATATTCACATTTTCATCTTTAACGAGTCTCATTTATCAATTTAGTTATCTAGTCCTTTTTTCTATCATATTGCTGGCAGGTCCAATCTAAGCTTCCATTTCTTTTCAATTTTCCAAAAGGTTCCCCTCAAACGTATGTGTAGAAGATAACTGCAATTGTGCCATGTTTTTGTCAATGTGTTTAACGGGCAATCCCAAAGAGCTAAATCAAGATGAAGAGCCTTTACTGATGCTGTGTCACATAGCTATGGAATATATACCAGTTCTAATCTATAAATTTACCATACATTGACAAATAATGTCAGGAGATGCTCTTAGTCTCTTGTAATCATGTGTTTCATCTACATAGACAGAAGAAAAGAAAACATAATGGAAAGCATTGTCTTGTACTTTCAGACAGATGTAACATGTAGAAATTAGGATTACTGCATATATAAACAGGATTAGGAAGGGTCTCACTCAGGATGCTGCTGCATACAGTAACCGTGTCTTGAAATGAGAGGCTCGGGGCTTAAGACTGTTTTTTAGTCATCAGTCTGCATATTAGCCTGGAAAGATTGCTGAGTTTCTTCCTCTTCATGTTGTAATTAGATGGAAGTTCAGACACTTTGACGTTCTGGACCATTGGGGTTAAAGGAAACTGCTGGGGGCTCATCGTCAATAGCAGCTTCATCTTGTTTGAGGCTTTGAACCAACCAAGCTGTAAGAACACAATGCAGTTTTTCATGAGCTGTTTTTCATTACACAACCATACTCTGGAACTCCTCGTTGTCTTTCCATAACAAAAAATCTTATCAGTACTGATTATTATCCAACGGCCGTGTGCAAAGAAGTGATAGACAGAGTTTAGGGTTTGTTTCAGCACTTTTAATATGTACTAGAGGCGCAATTACACTTTAGCGGGGTACCTTCCTCTATTTGTGTGCCCACAAAACATCTTTAACCCGCCTGTGAGGAATACCAGCTTCTGATGGTCCTTTCACCAAACATCTCCTGTTATGACTCTACACTTTTCTTTTTCTGATGGAATGATGTGAACGCAGAAGTTCTGCTGGCTTCAGCTGAGCCTCAGTGACACCTTGAGGTAGATAACATTCTTCAGTCACTTCAAACATTTGAGTAGTGAGACATACTACTGACCTGTCGACTTGCCTCCAAAGTATATTTTTAGTTTGAAATCTTGCTTTAAGTTTTGTATTTGATACACAGCTACTGACACTTAGCTCAGTAACCTCATTAATAATTTAACTTTACAACTTTTACACTTTCATCCAGAAACAATGTAGGATTTTACTCAGATTTTATCTTTGGTAGCTACAACAGTAAATAGTTAGAACATATTTAATGTTATGAATGATTAAGCAATCCATTCAATTTCAGTCATCCGGATTCAAGCTCCGTGTGCTGAGCATGTTGTGTTTCTGGTTGAAATAAACAAAGAATTGACTGCCATCTTTACAAAGACCACCTACTTAAACCTCTTTCTTTAAAACCAATGCTGACCTGTTACACTAAAAGTCACAGAAACTCATCCTAATGTAACACTGCAAAGATCTCAGCTATTGTTAGATAAGCATACATCAACATCTGGACACACAATAACACACATGAAACTGTTACAGACAGAAGCTCACATTTTCCCATTCAGGAGTGAGGGAAAACGTGACTGTTTCAAATAATACTGCAAAGCTACCTGTGAAAGAAACTGTGGAGGTACACCTGGGGGTCGGGGGTTGGCTTCTATCTTTCTCATAACAGACCAATTTAGATGGGCTCAATTTTCACTAAAATCTAATTCTTAAAGTTTCTTAAGATAATTCTGGTGGAAATTGGAAGCTTTAGTCATAAATAAACTTTTAGCTCAATGAAATCAAAGTTAGTAGAGATTAAATATTGTCACTGCAAACCCACTGTGCTTTTTTTCTTTTCACCTTATTTCCAATAAACTGCATTGATAATACATCCACAGTTTCCTCATCACAATTTTGGCACTTTTTCTCCTAAGGAAGACTTCCACATAATCTGCAACAGAAAGCCTAGAATAATTGTTGAGTAACATATAAAAACAATACAGAAACATGTACATGGGTAGTATTGAGTTGCTAGCTGTCCGCATCCCTTCTATTTCTGAGTACACTGTTGGGGTGCTGACCAACAGAAAGGGTCATCCAATGACCCAAGAATCAATAACAGCACACAGGGAGTTAAGTGCTGAAGTTTTTGTTGTGCAAAGTCAGCAGCATCGTAACTGAAACAGTATGAAATTATTCGCATTGTGTAATTCATTTGCGTAACATGATCTTTGAAACTATACCATTGTCAAATGCTGTTTATTCTGGGGGGACATTTGTTTTATGTACACAGCTTTCGCCAATCCATCCACTTATTTTGATGACATGTGCTATTAAATAGCTGCAGGTCAAATTAATAAGAGGGACATTTGTTCCTTCCTCTGACAACATGAAGATATGTCCATTCGAAGCACATCTAACTTATGGCTATTATTCCTATCAAAACAGTTTATTTTAGGAACAAAAATCAAAGAGCTGCTGGAAATGAAAAGGTGCACATTCAGCATCTTCCTGGCTGGTCATTTACTAAAGAAAAGAAATGATAAACAATTACACAGTTTTACATGTGCAAATCATCCTCTGTTCTGTTGTGTATCAACACATCAAATAAACAGGGTGTTTAAGGAGCCTGTTAACTAGTGCTAGAGAAATCAAGAACGTATTTGTTAGCATCACCAAAGCAGAACTGATATTAGAAACTTGCATAACATTTTAGCTTTCTGCTGTCGAGCTTTGAGACTCAGCCAGGAGGTGATTTCACTCAAATCCATTCTCTATCATTTATCTCTGTGTGTCTTTTCTTCAGGTCTGGAACTCAAATGCAGTTAACAAGGTGATACATTATCAGAGTCACATTTGCGCACATTCCTTTCCTCTCTGCACTTCTTTACACTGCGATAGCCACTAAGTTGACAACATCAACACACAAGGGAAAGAATATGAAGACAAAACACAACAGAATGGATTCCCAGTTAGATGAATATATAAAGTGTCTCTATACTCTATCATCCTGTGCCAGAGTTTGGACACACTGTGCTCACACGTTCAGCCAGTGACGGGTTCAACGCCAACAGATTCTTTCATCTTTCAGACCATCTGTCAGACAGGAGTCGTCCCATCTTCCAACAACCCCATAAACAAAAAGGCTTCTTTCCAAAATGCCCAGTGACCAGCTTCCGTGGAAACACGACAATGTGTGCAGTGTAGGGCATTCAAGGTTTGTATTTAGGAATAGATGGTGATGACTTCACGGCCACCGCCTCTCACCAGGAGGACACGGTTGAGACCCTCAAGGAGGACCTCCAGAAACTCCATGTCTGTGCCATCAGCAGTCAAGGACGGAGTCTTAACAACATGCAGCATCATCACTACACTTCAGGGTGGCAGAATAACAATGTGGTACACTGAGGCAACGCCATGTTACACCACATTCAGCAGTCTAAAAACTACCTCATCACTTAATTTGGGGTGGTCTTCCTGACCACAAATGGAGTGGAAGCACTAGCTTTGAGCGGGTGCTGTACAGTGGATCTTTAATTCCTTTTCTTTCAAAAACAGCTAAACAGCCATAAATTCTGCTCTGTGAGATGTGAGTGTAAACCAGAGCAATAAGGCTGCAGCTGAGGATCTAAACAGGACGATCTATGAGTGGAGCTGCAGGTTCAGATGATCTTTCACATTACCACTGCCATCGCAGAGCTTTCCTGTCAAAGAAATCTATTAACTGCAATTTTAGCTGGTGTAAGTAAGGATACAGTTTTCATCCCCTCCTCTGTTCTTTGGTGGTCCGGGCATGTTGAGTAAAACCAGGTGAGCTCCTTGGGACTTGTTGACCACCACCTCATTCATTTTGACAGCTGTGTGCATACGCCGAACATTTGACTGGTTCCTGGTTTGACAAGATGTTCAGCGTGAGGAACCAGCAGTGGATTAAACATTACATTCCAATTTTTAAATACCATAAACCACAATTACATAAATCATCAACACTTTGTTTAGGAAAACATTGGTTTAGCTCAAGCATGTTGTCTGTAAGCTTTAAGCAAATCAGAAGAGCAAAAGGTTCAGGTAGAGGACTTATTTTAAATTAAAAAACAACAAGAGGCAACATTTAAAGATATAGGGGCATGAATGTCACATTTTGAACTTGATTTCACCCTTTTATCTAAGCCAATTTTTAATAATGAATTATAATCAGAAATGTCCAAAAACATGTCCTGCCTCTTTAAATGATGCTCTCTATCGTCATAGTGACAGACCACAAGACAATTAAGCACATGGCAGAGTAATATAATGAGGTAACAAAAGAAGCCAATGCCACAATACTTTTCATTTTGCATTCCTTTGAAAACAAAATCAAGTACGGTTTAAGGCCATAAAAACATAACCAGCAGTGTTATTCATATCTTGTTAATGGGAAAATTGATGTAATAAGTTATTTTGTGCCAAACATATGGTTAAAAGCTAGATGATGCAGTCCATGCAAACACGTACACCACAGAGAACACAAAGACGTGAGCACATGAGCTGGAGGACACTGAAAAAAGCTAGTCACCACAGTGGCAGAACACATGAAGGGCTCTGGGCAAAGATAATGCAACTTACAGACTCTCCCACTCTCTAGAAGGAGGAAAATTGGACAGAACAACAGAAACAAACTTAGACGCTTCTACATCAGTTCAGCTCCCCACAATACATGCTTCCAACTGTCCCAAAGACTCACTGAGACACCCAAATATGATTCAGGTTTCCACAGTAAGTGACATGGAGCTGTTTGATGTGAAAAGTGAGGTTTTTAGAAGTGTGCTCTTTAGTGTTTCCTGGCTGAGGAAACAGTGAAAGAGGACCTAAAGTGGTAGTGTGGCTGAATTTGGACTTATTTTGGACTTAGTTAAATCTGAAGAAGTCAACACAATGGACAGTATGGAATAAGAGGGTGTTAGTGTACATGGTGTGCACCCAACGTCTGGCCATGCACTACAACTGAAACAGCTTAAAGTGTGCACACATATGCACATATTAACCACAAGCTAACTGAAGATGCCATGCTCAGATTTCATCCTGTCAGGCTCCGAACCAGCCCAGCTATTCATGCTGTCTTCCTGCAAGGAGGCTTTGGCACCATCCTGACGTGTCTGCACACACTTTGTTTTGGTGCTTGTCAGTTCAAAATGGTGGTAATGTCTCTTGTGAGGCACATAAAGCAACACCATGTCACATGACTATTTGAAACACCGGCATGTAAAATGCATACTTTAAGTTAGAAGTTGTGTTATACTTTAACCACAGATCTACAGATCTGTTTTTTGGCTGCTCTTTCAGTAGTTACTTACGGTTTCATGTTGAACAGGTCGCGTACTGCAACACTGGTGTTGCACTCGCGGTTTCGGTTTCGCTCTGTGAAGAGCTTCTCCTTTGTCCAGGTCATATGCACCCGTTCGGGCTCAGCATCGGCCTTGTCGTTTATTGTGGCATGAGAAGCTGTGTTCCTGTCATGGATGAGCTGGGCCTGGACAGAAAGAAGGGAAAATATATAGGGATAAAGAGATAAAAATAAATTAAAATACTGGAAAGTGAAAGAGAAAAGAACATGAACAGGCAGCAAAGCAGTTTTCACACATGCATAACAGGCCTGATAACATCCAGATGCACTGTCTTTAAAAAATAGAAAGAAACAAAGAAAACATCTTTGGTAATAAGGTAATATCAGCCTGAGTCTTTGTTAATAAACTAAGCAGTTCACAGCTTTATGGAGTACATGCTACTTTGATCAACTGATCGATACAAAATACAAAGATCCAGTGCCTTGGAGTCTTACCCCAAATCACCAGACTGCCTCCTCTGGAGGACACGCTAGCTGCAGAGGAGATCCACAAAGTGCTCCTTCCAACATCCAACAATATTCACAGTTTGGGTAAGTAGTCCTTTGTCCACATCAAACACAACCGTGGATGTGTTCTGCTTTCCCTTCCCAAGTCATTAAATGGTTTGCCAAAACACCTTTGAGACAAACCAAAAGTCCTTCTCCGTGGTCTTGAAGTTACACTCCCACACCAGAGTTTTAGTCTCAGCGAACATCAAAACCACAACCATTTCAGACCCTTGTGATCTGTTTGCTGTTTCAAGTGACACTCAGGACACCAAAGCCTGAATCCACAGCTTCTCTGGCTGGGGTGTCAAAGGCTGTCTGTGTCTGTTGCCACCACAACAGACACAGACAGCCTTCAGGTCCTAAACATGGTCTACTAAAATGCAGTGGTGGGCCGTCAGGGCCTGCAAAATATCTGAATCACAGACTGATGTTAATTATATTTTGTCCATATCTCTAAATAGTCTGTCTGCTTCCTTTCATAGCTTCCCCCCTGGTTGTGCTGATTCCAGACATGTATTTTCATATAAAAGCATTTAGCCAATCACATTTCAGCCATCATTTGTCGCTAGGCAGAGTCAAAGTCGAAGATGTCTGCCTGGAGGCCTTCACAATCCGTTCTGCAGCCCCCCCCCCCAACAGAAAATACATGTCGAGTACACTGTTGCTTTAACCAATCAGTGCTCTGCCTGCCTGCCCGTGTCCCAGACCCGGCCTGTCTGACTCCGCGCTTCCGTCTGCCCCTCTGGGCTGCTCCCCTGGCTTCGACCCTCGCTCTGTTCTGGACCACGCTTTGGATTACCCTTTGGCTGAGTTGCTGGACTCTGACCACAAGTTGCCGACCCCGCCTGCCTGACCACGCCTACAGGAGATTCCTGTTTGTGAATAAACCTGTTAACTGACCGTCCTGTCTCAGGGTGTTTTTGGGTCCGCATAACAGATCGTAACATAAGTAGATAAATAACTGTCAACTTTAATACAAAAAGCTGGATAGTTCACAGCTTTATGGAGTACATGCTACTTTGATCAACTGGGGACAGTTGACAGTAGGGACATCCCTACTGTATTTCTACATAATAAGATGATTTCTATAACCATAAAATAGTTCTTGAGGGGTGAATTGATTCAGACGAAGCACTACTGAAGGCCCAGGTTTGAAAGGCACGGTCCGCCACTGCTAAAATGCCAACCTTACAAAGTATGTGAGAAAAATTCTGCTGGAAGTACAAGCTCGTGGACAGGGTCCTTAAGCAGATGTTCCAGTTTACAAGTCTAATTTTATGTTTGCCTTAGCAGGTCTGTAGCAATCTTCCCTGCCAGTGGATCCCACTTACCACATGGTGCTGTATGGTGGAAAGCTCCGCCCCTCTCTTTGTCGTATCTCGTATATCCAAAACATATGGCTGCAGATCTGACCACTTGACTGCAGTTGGTCATTGACATTGTGATGTGGTTCTAGGTACATGTATTAACCACTTCATACTGTAAATGGGGTAATATAATACTAGAGAAAGGTTACAAAAACACCCAAACGCAAACTGAGGGGCATTGTACATGCAGTAAAGACCAGAGGTGTTCTGTATAAAGGAAACCAAACAAGTTCCACGGGAATGTGGTGCAGCATAGGAGAGCTAGCACTTCAGACCAAAGACTCAGCAGTTCCCTTCCATCTCAAGGAGAGACAACACACTCTGCGAGGACAGTAATATCCGCATTCTGGAGACAGAAAATAGGTGGTTTGAAAGAGTAAAGGAAGCCATCTATGTTACACTGGAAAAACAGCTTTTAACAGAGGAGGTATCTCAACTTCCAGCTCCTCCAGGAGGTTTAGGAGCCATTCACAACTTGGATCCTGGAACCAAAACTCACCTTTCAGACAGTTAGAGAATCTGCAGGTGAGAGTGACTAATTCTCATTGGTCAAGGGGTTCAGACTGTAACCAACATCTTTGCTAATAGTCCAGTGTTTAACTCAAGATTTTAGGATTATTATTATCTGGATGACTGAGACTCTTCACCAACAAGCTCGGTCTTTAGAGGTGGTAAATGACAATGAGAGAAATATGATTTAAAGATTGTTTTTGAATGAGGGAGAAAAAAAACAGAAACTACAAATAGAACCAACATGTCCAGAGACAAAACTAAATGACAAACAATTATGGAGAATAGAGAAAACATTGGCTAAATACATGCTGCTACATGATAAATCCATAAACCGTGAACACACACAAGTCTACAGGTTACAACAAGGACGTAAACATTTATGTGTAAGCTACTGAGCTAATACTGGATATAATGTCAGCTACAAGATCATATAAGTTTGTGGCAGTTTTATAAAGGCCACAATGACTGGACGGATACTGGACTAACATTTCACCAGTCCACCAGTCTCAGGCTACATTGGTCTTCTTTGTTCACATTGGTCCTTCTATTACTGCAGCGTGGTACAGTCATTGTTAACATAACTCCAGTCAATACGAGGATGAAAGACAAATACTACCAGGAGGTTTTCTCATTTATATGAGACTTACTGATGCTTACTCCGTGTAATGTGTCTTGTGTTCCAACATGCGTGGATAGGAATTTATGCAATAAACACAAAATGATTTCAGGCTGATTGTGTTACTGTCACTGAAAACTGAGGCTAAACATTGGCCTCAGCTCACCTCAGAGTTATGGGTGGCTAGGTGTTGATTATGGCAGGGGTAAACAAAAATGGAGAGAAGACAGTATAATTTTGGCTCAAGTAAGGGCATGAAGCAAACCTGGGCAACACCTGGGCTCACAAAACTGTTTTTCCAGGGCACCATAGGAAGGCCACGTCGTAAATAACTGCTTTTAGATGGTAAACAGGCCTAGGTTATACAAGTGATATGCATATTTGTCAGATTTCTGTGAAAATACTGTCTACTCTCTCCTCAAAGTTGAAAGGAATTGGGAAATGTGCAGTAGGGTTGGGAGTTGGGAGTTGGGTGCAGTGGGGTGTCAGGGGATGTTGGGCTGCACTTTTGGGTGTTTTGGGTAGGCTTGTGTTCACAAAGCAGCTGCCTATGAGCATACAGTAGAAATCAATACCCTTACGCCAATCTGGAGTTTTCCTTTTTCTATCCCACATGCTGATGCACACACTAATATTTCTGATATACCTATATGATCATTTGCCTGGACACTTTTCAGACTTCACAGTGCCGGCTGGTTTGAGGTCAGTAACTAGTTTGTCTTTCCAGGTATCTTCAACTACTACCTACTCAGCTCCACTTGAATTTTTTGGTCTAATATTATGTAGTAAGACTTGGTACCAGTTGAAATCTGGCACCTACCCAGCTGTGTTCTAAGTGAGCTGAGTGGAGCTGAACGTGTGACATCTATGGACTTCAGGCCACTGATCGGCCAAGGAGTGATGTCACTGGGTGAGTCATGAAAGTGAGTCCTTCTTAAGAAACTAAACATATTTTAATTGTGCAGAAACAGCCAACATGTACTTTTTATTATTTAGGTCCCAAGATGAGGATGAAATATCCTTTACTGTTTGCCACGTGCAAATGACGACACAGTACATCTGGGCCACCTTGCTGTAACGACCCCACACACATTCTGGTGGGACTCTGTTGTCATTGAAAAACGACCTAAATTGAGTGCATTCCAGTCCAGTAGAGTAGGACCGAGGAACCACTAGTTTAAAAGTGCCATATGGCTTTATACTGCCGCAGTCTATTGTTAAACTCCATGGTGACCAAGTGGCAACAATCATCTTAGTACCCTTGAATAGTACTAGCACATCACATGGACACAGATAAACTCTCCCTAAGCAGGTTAAAAAGCTCAATGGATTACCCATGGAGCCCTTTTACAGTAGGCAGGACTCTTGAAGTGACACCAGAAACACCATTCTGAGTTTTATCTTAGAACAAGGGATTGTATGAATCCCTTTAATAGGAAAGTGTTTTGTTTAAATTAGGTCTGAAGCAAATGAGAAAATGTTGGACTTTTAACTGCTTTTTGTGATGTTGAAGGAGAACAGTGAACAGCAATAACCTTTTTGTCCCATGTTTTGACAAAGGCCCAAACACGGGGTCCGCACAGCTTTTACCTGTTTCTGTTGATCGCATCACAACAGCTTTAAAGGTTCATTTAATAAGAAAGATCATACTTTCTGACTCCATGGCCATTATTGCTAGTTACGCCACTATGTGACTCCTACACTGCCCATCAGCATTGCATACAGTAAAAACATATCACATATATGAAAAACTTAAGTTGTCCATGTTTAAGATAGATAGTGTTTGGCATCAGGCACAGAAATGTAGAATCCCATTTTCTGAGATTTGAAATCACAATGTTGATAAAGGGCATGATAACTGTAGCCAAAGATGGAGCTTTGTGAAGACAAACTGGTATTCATTCTACCACAGAGGGACAGTGGTTTGACACAGCCAGCTACCTCATCCTCCTGTGTATCCTCCATCGGTGAGGACTGCCGGCTGAGGTTGGAGGTCTCTGTAGCGCCCGGGTTCTTCCTCCGGATTGAGCTACGTGATTCATCAGTGATACTCTGAATCTGAGCATTGTTGAATGTGGTGGATGAACAAGGAAAGGCGCCAGTTGTCACAAAACTCAGTGTTTGGCCTCAAAATTCTTGAATTAAGTGTTCATGCTATGTCAGTTTTTATTTGTTATTTATCGCCCACACTATTGTTTCCCCGCCTACTATTAACATACAAGTTTGTTACAAAACCTGATGGAAATGTGTGCCCACCAGTACTCTGTTTGCATGCATAACAGCACTATCAAGATATGCATTCAGTGGCATTGAACTCCATCTCGCCATTTGTATGAATTTGTTACCGGTGACACGAGTGTAGCCTCAGAGTTGGACTGCGTTTTACCTCTCTCTCCCTCTCAGTCCTGGAAAGTTGCATCTGTTTCAGCATTTGAGACCTCTGCTCCATCACTAGTGTCTTCTCATAGGTGAAGGCTGAAATGTCATTGTCATGCTACAAAGAAGAAAAAAACACACTGACTGGCCATATTTGAAGTAACCAACCACCTTCAAGTAAAAAGTTTGATCTAATCTTTATTAAAATGTAATCTATAACATACTCAGGAAAGAGTTGTTCCTCTTTCAGACTTCATACAAAGATGCGCAAAGATGAATTACCACAAATACAGAGCTGAAAGCATTAGCTATTTAAATTAACAACAGAAATCAGAATTCCTCCAAGCCCTAAACGTGTGGTGGGTTTTTAGGCTTGTGTTGTGACAGCTATGTTGGAACGTTGTGCTAATTATGTACATAGAAATCTCACCATCTCCACTACTTCCACCTCAGCATCCAGTCGTAGATGATAAAGAAACATCTGGAGATCTTTTTTCATTTGGATGCTGTTATCGTCCATCTGGGCAACAGTGAAGATACGCATCTTACATTTCCGCCACACCTGCAGCAAGGAAGAAAGGACTTAGCTATTGTACACCAGACAGTTGGGCTGATGGATGAGAAAGGATTCTGTTTTTAAAGAAAGCTATGCAAATATAATCCATCAGCCCTGTCTTCGTTGATGGGATTTTGTATTTTGGGTTTTCTATCTTTTAGTTTCTTAGTTCTTCCGTGTTCTAGTTTACTGATGCTTAGTCCCTTGGTTTAGTCTCCATTTTCAGTTTTGGTTAAGTTCCTGTTTAAGTCTTAGTATATTGTTTGAGAATCCATTCATCAGCATTTCATGTCTTGAGCATTTGCTTTCTGTTTGTGTCTGGTTTAGTTTCTAGTTGCTTATTCGGTCCTTCGTGTTGTCATGTGTTTGTGGGGGGAGCCGGGTTTAACTTTTCATGTTCAAATTTTATTCCACCTACAGTATGTTGTTTCTAACTTACAGTTCATTCAGTCTTCGGTTTAGTTTAAGTTACCCCGTTCTTTCCATTACCAAAAAGGCAGTTCCACTCACTTAGCTCGCTTCTGTCCCGTGGTCTCTGTTCACACCCACCTCCCATTAAGTACACCCCTGTCGTTGCTTCGTTTATCAACCCCCAGTATTTATAGCTCTCCAGTCACCTCAAACAATTGCGAGTTGATAATGTTGTGTGGTCACTATGATCTTATGTTTCCATTGCTCAGGGTCACTCAGCTGGCCAGCCTGTTCATTTGAAAAGCTCTGGCTGCTTTCACTTTGTACTTTTGCTTATCCTGCCCCAGCCGCACTTTTTCTTTGGGATATAAATCTTTTGTTCATCTTATCTGCCTGTCATTGCCTGGTCATTCTGATAGTCCTGCATTAGAGTCTTATTCCTCCCTCCCTGAATTCACTCCTTTCATGCCCTGGCTTAGGGAGGTTTCAGGGTGTGACTGGCACTCTCCAAATACATCAACCCACCTTGTGCTGTCGCAGCAGAAAAGGCAGCAGCATCAACATGCCTCCATCATGAACCACCCACCACACATCAATTGTTCCCTCCCCAAGGCGATCCTGGTTCGTGGGGAAACTGTCCACATTCTTAGCCACAAGTAAAGCCTGGTGAGCTGCGGTGGTCTCACGAATTGTCTCTGGATGGACAGAACAACCGAGTACATATGAGACAAGTCCATGGAAAACCACTGCGAATTGAAGTATGTTCTGTACAACATATCACTATTTCAACTGCCTTCAGATGATGTCACACGCTTTATAAACTAGCTTTTATAACAGCATTCACTTTGTTCTTCTATGAATGCACTTGTTGAAGGTACATCAGGATGAAACTAAAACACAAAACCAACATAACAAGGACTTGTGGTTACAAAACAGGAAAATAGATCAGCAAATAATCAGCTAATAACATTGAATCGTTTCAGGTTCAGATGTGAGGTCATACTGAGGTGTGTATCCCATTTATGTAGGTTAGAACTGAAAAGATTTGACCCAAGTAGCAGGCAGCACTATTACATTACTGTTAGTTAATGTTACCTAGGTGTACCTAATAAGCAGGCAATTGAGAATAATGTTTCATTAAATACTTGCATTCATTTAGAACTGTCTTGCACATTTTACCTATGAAGCTTCTCCAAGACTGTGGGTCGTTAGATTGTTTCCAGGTTCCAGGCCAGGCCATCAAGACTGTGTTGTGTTTCATGCCCCCTAACCCTGCAGACTGAATGAGGTGAGAGATGCCATCTCTGAGGTTTGACGACACCACAACATGGCAGAATCCTTTGGTGCGCTCGGCAGTCATGGCAGACTTGATGTTCTATGGACAAAATTAAGGAAAAGCAACCAAATTAGATGAGTTATGAAGTAAACATGGTATTTTGTTAATACAGCAGTGACTGCTAATGCCTTCCCAAGGTCAAAGAAGCAAACCATGGCTAAACAAAGAGCAAACATCAAACTGACTGCTGGAGCAGACCCAGGCCTGTTCACCTCAGAGGTTTTGATTCAGGATACAGCCGTCATGTCAGAGTAATGAAGAGTTCTGTGGCGTAATTAGGAGGATGCTGAAAGTAAACCATATATTTTACATGGAAGGCTAACGTGTGATTGGACATAGATGGTCACATGTGCTTTTGTGCCGGCACTCATTACTATAATAAGCCTGTTTGTTAAATATGTTTTCCTGGGCCGCAGCCGTAGCCTAATGGCTAGAGCGGGCGGCCCATGTGCAGAGCCTCTGCTCGCAAGCCCACGGCCGTTTCCCGCAGGTCTCCCCCTCTCTATCTCTGCCCCCTTTCCTGTCAACCTACTGTCATTAAAGGCCACTAGAGCCAAAAAATCTTTAAAAAAAAAAAAGTTTTCCTGGGAAAGTTTCTGTGGTTAGTCAAATAGCTGGAAATTAAGAACTCACTGGTATTCTGACAAACCTCTGTAAACTATTTGAAAGGCTATACCATGTAAGTGACTAGAAGTGACTGTAATACCAAAGCACACAGCAATAAACACATGTTAAAAAAAGATAAATTGATTGCTGGCATGGTGGTGTGGTGGTTAGCACCGTCGCCTCACAGCCAGAGGGTTCTGGGTTGGAGTCCCGGGGGAACCAGGACCTTTCTACCAGAGGGTTCTGGGTTGGAGTCCCGGGGGAACCAGGACCTTTCTGGGTGGAGTCTGCATGTTCTCCTGTGTCTGTGGGTTCTCTCCAGGTTCTCCGGCTTCCTCCCACCATCCAAAACCTGCATGTTAGGTTAACTGGACTCCAAACTGCCTCTAGGAGTGAGTGTGAGTGTTCCTGGTTGTTCGTCCTTGTGTGTCTCTGTGTGGCCCTGTGATATCAGGTGTGGTCCCTTTAGCAAAACAGGCTTCTTTAGGATGATGTTGAAAGGAAATACAGCAAAGGGCCAGCCAAAAAATGGATGTTCAATAAGCAATGTCCAATCCTTTGGCTGGTTCTGCTTTTGGTACATTTTTTCCAACCAGTGTGCACATGGCCACCATACCTGCTCTGCCTTCTTTGCCTCTATCTCTTTAGTGAGGTAGGTTCCCTCCAAAACATTCCCCACAATTGTAAGGCCTTTCCCTGCCTTCAGCTGTGTGGTGAGGGACAGTAGACGAGGGTGTTTGACTCCATGATCGGAGTCCAGATTCAGCAGCACCAACAGTTGAGGCCTTGGGACATAAAATACACATCAAAATGTCACACTTTTTACATATGGTGGAAAAAATGTTTTCACTGATATTTTATTTCTATCTGATTTGATTTTACGATAGTTAAGGTCAGAAAGAAACACAAATCTTTGTGCTACAGAACAGCAGGATCATTATCAATACCGGGCTAGAAAGCAGTGACTCCCATCCATTCCTAGGTTGGACTGTTGGGATTCTGGAGTTTGCAGAATGAGGACTTTTGTAATGCTCTGTGGTTTTCTGCTGTTATGTTTATGTTTATGTTTGTTCATGTTTATGCATTTAGCAGACGCTTTTATCCAAAGCGACTTACAGAGTAGAATGGATTATGGATTCCTTTTGGTTTATTTCCAGCTGAAAATGTCCTTGTAATTTTGGTTTTTCATTGATTGTGGTACATTTTGTGTCCCCATAACACAAGATTGACTGGTGACCTGTGCAGGATGTTCCCTGCTTCTCTCTGAGTGTCAGCTGGGATTGGCCCTGGACCCCTGTGACCCAACTGGGAATAAGTGACATGGATAATAAATGGATGGATGGTAATTGAGTGGAGGGATGGATGAATCTGTTTTGTTTTATCGTGGTTTATTTTTTTCTGTTTCCTGTCTACCTCCTTTGTGTCCCTGCCATCTTCAATCTGGTAATCCTCCTTTGTTTCCTCAGTATTTGGGGATCAGCTCTACTCCTCTCAGCTGATCTTTATCATTAATCCACCCTCCTCTTAAGCTACAGTTTTTTCCTCAGAATTTGGGGGATTTTCTATTAGTACCTACTCAGCTCTACTCAGTTCTACTCACCAACACTCAGTTTATGTGTTTTTTATTACAAACGAGGACATTGTTTCTATGCAACACAAGTAGAGACAACAACGAAGGACATCATAGCAACGATATACCGTCTAAAACTCAGTATTGGGCCGTCGTATTGGATTGTGTATTAGACATTTACAATGTTAAAGATCACAGAGATAATTAAACTGGATATTTGTTGTTTTCAAAAAGGGGCAAGGTTAACACTTATGACTAACTCTGGTTGTCATCTGATCATGTATAATCTAGACATCTATTTCTTTCCCTTAAATATCCACCCAAGCAGTGGCAATTGGTACGGTGCAAAGTTTACCTGCATCCACGAGACAAAGCCACAAATACACAAATAGTGTTCTACCTCCAGTTCTTGGTGTGTGGTGCAGCATCCTCTAGGCGAATGAGGGCATATCGGGCTGCGTTAAGAGAGAGGCCACGAATGCCGTCACCCCACTCCTTCTCTGCCCTATTTAGGGAAACAATTCAATTGAATACAGTACCATCAAAACATTTTTAAACAATGTCAATGACAAAAACCCAGCATAGAAAAAAACTTCACTCCACTTCAGTTCAGCTCAGGGTAGATAAAGAAACAGCTTATAGGATGCTGCATGAGTGAGTGTTGTACCAGTGCACCGTGTCACTGGAACAGAGGATGTGTAAAGTGTACAGCTCTACATTGAGTCAACTCAGGTTTTTACTAACCCTAATCAAATGAACCCAGAGATCACTTGAAACCAAAGAAAAATGAGTAAACAAAGCCAGCCTTACCCTCGGTATTCAATGTATTTGTAGATGCAGCCAGCAATGGCCATGGCAACAATAGCATAATACCAGGAGCAGATGAACATGAGAGCAAGACACAAACTCATTCCCAAGAAGGACAGAGCCCTGGTAGAGAAAGAAACAGGAAACCTTACTTCAGTCTTTATGTGCTGACCCATTCACATTTAATGCACCTTCACTGAGGTATATCCATGAAATGAGAGTTGTTCCTAATGAAAAGCTCAAAGGCTTAGAATTAGGTGGAAATGATTAAATCCCACAGCTAGCAACTGTGTCCTCTGAACCTTTGTTCTCAACCCTTGATGTGGAATGCATTTCAATTAGAGCCACCACACTTTGCTTAATACTTTACTGCAATGATATGAAATCTCACACCCACCAGTGGTAGTACTTGAAGCGGGGTCTCCAGTTAGGCGTTCGCAGGAGGGTCTGCACAGCACAGGCCAAATTGACAAACAGGTAACACATGAGGAAAAACCTGTTGCGAGAAGAAATAAAGCAAAGCATTTGACTTATGTTCTAATTCTATATTTTATGACTAACTATCAGAGACTTTCAGATGTGAAGGAACTGAGGAATCAGAATTCATCTGGTAATCAGCTTTTAATGGAAAAAGTGTGTAAAACATCAGTGTTTGCACAGCCACTGACATAGAGAGGATAGGAGCAACAGCGTCCAGGGAGGCAATGAGGATTCCAATCTCACAGATCCCAGCAGTCAGCAGCAGAGCCCAGGTAGGTTCTCCATTAGCTTTTCCATGACCAAACACCTTTGAGTGAATACAAACAATAATGTGTAAGTGATGGAGCACATTAGGTGAAAGTCTGCTCTGATTACATGGTTTAGACTGTTTGTGTCTAACTTGTAAGAAAGGGACAATGCCATCCCGTGCGATAGCCTGCAGCAGTCTGGGGGCTCCAGTCAAACTCTGCAGACCCGCCCCACAGCAGGAGAAGAATGAGCCAATCACAATAACCCAGGGTGAGGGCCAGGATAGCGTGCCTATTACAAGATTTCCTTTCACAGAGTCCCCATATCTGCAACAAAAGAACAAACAATAAATGGACTGTAATTTATATCAAAGCATATTTTCTTGGAAGGCCTATCTGTCACACCTGCTGGAAACAAACGGAAAGAAGGAGGAAAATTGAATATGATGATCATCACTCTAAATATGATACTACTGGCAGATAAAACGCTATACAGACAGATACAGAGGAAAAGACCAGGAGGAGGGAATAGAGCTTTTAACAACATTTGGACATTGCTACCTTGAAGCCACATGTGCTCACTCTGAAACCAGGGTTCAACCCTGAATTCTCCAAATGAAGCACCAAAACCAATGTTCAACCCTCTGGTTCATATATCAGTTCTATAATTGTTTAATTTTGGGGTTGGCCTGTATGATCAGAGCTTTTGTGAGTGTACTTTTATACTACTGACATGCGTGTTGAGTGATCCAGTGGCTTTAAGCCAAGACCAAAACTACATCTTTCCCTTATCAATGACACCCTGTCTAAAACAAGCATAAACCCTTCATTACTATAGGGTTGAGTTCATTTTCAACTCTGCAAGATTTTTTTAGATAAACTTTCTTCTGAAAATAGTTTTGGAAAATACACACTCTCTTATCTGAGTGACGTATTGTGAGACAAAAAGAAAGGAAATAAATGTCTATCTTGGTATTTATTATGTGATTTTTAGTGTACATGCAAGTCAAGACATACAAAAAATTTGAGCTGTCTATTGTTTAAAATTCAAATTTACAGTGAATCTACTGGAGTAGTACCCTGGATAACGCTGCTCAACTTGACGAATTGCATAATTCTGCTAGGAAAAAATCCATCCTGACACTCCCAGACAGGTTGGACAATAATCATTGCAGACAAGTTCCCATCTTTGCCCTGTCACCCCCCAAAAAATAGGGCAACAACCAACAAATATCCCACTCCACAACCCACAAATGACACGTGTTTTTGGCCACAGCCTGACTGGTCAGAGCTGTCTTGGTGGAATGACAAAGACTTATTTCCTATTCAGTGACTGGTCATGAAGTGCAGCTTAAACCAACTTTAGTGCTTGAAGACAACTTCATACAACAGCTTTTGAGAGGCATTCATAAACTGAATGAAAGAGCCATTTCAATACTGCACAACATGCACACAAAATAATAATCAAACTGACATCTTAATACTGAACTCTTACTTGTCTCGAAGCAGGACTCCTTCAATACAGGCACCGAAGAGAACCACACAGGTGATATCTGAACAAAACTGGTGAGGGAGATAAATTCCAGACAGCTAGATCCCAGGGATGACACATGCAATTCTCTTTTCCAAGGGCTTCATTCCTGAAAACTTAAGTATTTCTGAAATAATATGCGAGAAAAAGAAAACATCGGGACATCCACAACTACATTTACAAACCTAGCTTTTTAACTCTTTTTTTACTTTAAACTCTTTCCGTCAATGCCCTGCATTGCTCCGATTTTCTTTGTATCTAAGTGTGCCAGGTGTGTATAGGGATACAGATGACAGATGTGGTGGCAATAGCCAGGATGGTCCCAATGGGAATTGACTTCTGAGCATCCCTCAAGTCACCAGACCGGTTGGAACCAGCCATGATACCTGCAAGGAAACATAACAGGAAATCCTGAATGAAATATTTTAAAGCCACCTCCAAGTGCATGTTGAAAACAGTTGCATGTTAGTACAAGTAACTTATTGTATACAATTATATTGTGTTTGAATTGAATTGAGTTGAGTTGAATTGAATTGAATATACTTTATGTTTATGTTTGTGTAGTTAATCAGCATTTCACCAGTGACGGAGGGGAAGTAGATGCCGACAAGAAGTGTGAAGAAGGTGGTGATATCATTGATGACGTAGGGCATGTAAATATCCTTGGTAGGGTCACTGCCCCCAACGGATGGAAGCCTCTTGTCTTCTACCAACATGCCAAGGGGGCCGTACTTTGACCACAAGTTTTCTACAAGGTAAACATACATCAGTAATCCAGACATTAGTGCTTCCAAACAGAATCCATGCTTCACTTGTACGTGTCTCAACTTTTCATAAGCAAAAATCCCACAGAGCTCTGTGCTCCCAGACTGGTGATGACCCCCCCCGAGGAACCAGTCTGGGCTCAGGAAGCAGACCTAGTTTGTTGAATCACTGTAAAGAAGAGCCATTCTATTCTGTCCTTATCCTTTGTTTTATATGCCTGTCTATTCTGTACGATGTTTCTTTGTTTAGCTGTCCCTGTCAAAGCAGTCCATCCATGGCTGTAACTCTCCACCGCAGCTAGCTGTGAGATGGTCCTGAGGATCAGCTTGATAATTGCGTGTCTCTTCACATCAAGCTTCCAGCTTCCACAATAAAACACACTGGCAATGTCCCCAGCCCTCTTAGTCCTCAGACAAGAAGGCAGAGAGAATGAACTCAGGTCATAATTGTTCAAAGACTCAGTGTTGAGTGTTGACTGGTTTGTTGAGAATGTGAGTGGTAGAAGCTCAAAAGCTGCAAGGACAACCATTTTATATTTCATTTAAATGATTATGGTGTATCCAGAGGAGAATTTAATTTCTCTTGACAGTTTGTAACTTAATTTGCCATTTTATTTACCTCTCTCCCGAAAAAAGGGCAAGCTATTCGGCCTCATGAAAGGTCTGAGGAAGGATCAAGTGGAGTAACTGTCTAACAATATTCAGAGCTGATGCACAAAAACATATCTAGAAAGAAGGATGTTGTATTTCAAATGTGTTAAACTATTGTCAACAATAAAAGATTCTACAAACCAAGTCCATTTGGACTGGCTCTATATTTCAGAGAGGTGGACAAACATAGAGGCTGTGAATGGAATGGCAGTAATGAAGCCAGTAGCATCCAGCTCTCTTCTCCTGTACCCACACAGCTTCGTTTGAAGAAATATCGAAATATATATGTATATATGTGTACTGTATATTTATTAATTCATTCATTGGTTCATGTGTTGGTCCTACCTGAAATGACTCCACTTGCCAGTCCGGGGATGCCTTGGACCTCAGTCACATTATTGTTCAAAAAATACTCGTTGCAGGTGGAATTAGGCCCCTTACAGAACAGCTCCCACAGCTGGGTAGTGACTGTTACATTATCTATGACATCCATCTTTAGGCACTTGTCGAAGTTTTGGTTCTTCAGAGTGCGATTTCCCAACATGCAAACGCTGCATGAAAGGGAGGATAGGTCATACATCATTTCAAGCAATAATACATATCAGTGCACAAAGATGAAAACTCCTGATAAATCCACATTGGCATCATTATAGAATGTTGGCATAGTAACAATAAAAGCTTATTTGAAGTGGACTTACGGAAAATCTGGAGGCTCAAAGATGGTCTTGATTACTCCAGCATAGATGGCGATTATGGAGAGTATTACACACGCCAGGAACACCAGTGCTAGTTTGTTGACATACTTCACCCCGACAAAGACAACTACTGCCATCAGTGCCAGACAGCATGTACCATAGACACGCATGTTGTTCAGCAGGGCATCGACTTCATCCTCCTTCTTCTCTGCCACAAATATGGCTGCTTTAGGCACGATGTAAGTCTAATTGGGCAAAATAAGTCACATTCAGTTATAATCGGAATCAGAACCAAATCCTTTATTTTCATTGCTCTAAAAGTACAAGGAACTTTGAAAATATTGAAACTCTTGTGGTTGTGCAAAATATGCAGGGAGTAAAAAAAAAAGGCCTTTAAAACTTAAGAAATTTTAGACTATTTACATGCATACTTAAATATGTATAAACTGATTATTTTTGTACACAAGTTCAAGTGTGTATAAGTTGCATCCCCGCATATGAAGATGACTTGGAAAAACTCTGGTAATATAAAAGTCTCATAACGCATAGATAAAAGGAGTGAAAGTGGTTTCACCAGTAAAATCTCGATGGTACCCAGGATGTACATAGAACCAGCAAATGTTGTTCCCAAGTAGAAACACAGACCCACTGCTCCACCAAACTCTGGACCCAGAGACCTGGAAATCATATAGTACGAGCCTCCGGCTGGAGAGCAAAAACAGCAGGGAGGATTTTGTCAAAATAAAAATCAAACAGTTTTCCATTAATTACTGGTAAAAAAAAAAAAAACAATTCTTCTTACCAGGAACCACACCATTGGTGGCAATTGCACTCATAGATATTGCTGTCAGCATGGTCTGTGAAGAAATAAAATGGAACAAAAGCTTAAGGGGAAAATTTTAAAGAATGTTCAAACATTTATCAAACAGCATGAAGCCCTGTGAAATACATCTTCAATGCTGTATTCAAGGATTAAGACCATTTAAGCAAACACCCATTTTTTTATTTCAACAACTATTCAGCTTTTAAAATTCAGAATTTCATCTTCACTTTTTGGGAGCTCAAAGTCAAAATGTTGGGGTAATTTATGAATGCAAGCTTTTTCCATGAAATGAGTCCCTGTGATTTTTACATCATCCTGTAACCAAACTGTTCTGGGTGAACAAAAGGGGGATCAGGACAACGAGAAAGGGCCGAGTAAGTAAAAAAATTTTTTAACACAGACGAAAAGAAAATGGAATATGTTTAAGTGCAAACACCTAGCATATAGAACAGAGGATAGAGAGGATAGAAAAGGGGAGGAGGGAGAGAAAGGACAAGGACTTGACATAGATAAACCTTATGCTTTATTGGATGTCCGGTTTAAAGTGTTGGAGCAAAACCAATTAGCTCAAAGTTTCCAGGGAAATCCTAAGCAGCTACACAGCTGCTGGGTTTTGACAACAAACAAACGATAGAACTCCAAGCAGAAGGTAATCAGGATTCAGAATAATCGCAATTCTTTACACAAGCCATTTGTCACTAGACAGCTTTCCTACAAATAATCTGTGGTGATACGTGGAGACTTTTCTTACGCAATAAGAACAATGTTGTGTTCTTAACTCAAGGTTACGTGTTTCCCAGTCTGTAAGTAATAACCAAATCTCTTTCATGGATTTAAAGCAAAACACAAGATAAAATAAATGTTTTTTTTAAGTTTAGAGCTCATTTCATATTATGAGTCTAACAGTAAATGGACAGGGTAGAAAAATAAACTGGTAATATATGGCTTCAAAAGATATCTTGGACTAGACAATGGTCTTTAGTTGTAATGCTTATTGTCCAAGTCTGAGGCAAGTAACACCATTATTAAACAATAAACAAGTTATTGCAAAAAACTAAAGCAGGTACTATGACTTCAGAGGTTACTTATGTGTTCAAGAATCCCAAAAGAAATCCTTTAATGACTCATATTCATACAGTTGATTTTGCTTACAAGGATGTGTTTCAGAAATGTCTGCACTGGCTGTGATCTGAGAATGTAGTGTTTCGTCTTTGTGTATGTAACTGGAGCAGGTGCAGAGTGGGGATGAGACAATGGGCACACATGTGGCACACTGAGCTTGACTTATAGTGTTGGATCAAGCTAAAGAACACAATGTCCCCAGATTTCTCCTATAAGCCGGTTGCTGATATGGTCAAAGGTCAGATATTCTCTAAACAGTGAAAATGAACAATAATCCATCTGACCAGGCTTGATTAACTTACATAACAGCGAAGATATAAGGAAGGTTAACCCTCCACACACTCAGACTAGGTTTTAATAAGGAAAATGGAGTCCCCATTATCATGAAATTTGATCAAATCCAAAGCTTTACAGTTGTAATAGATTAAACTGGAACTGATTTTTTGATTGAAAACAGTTCCATTAGCATTATGAATAAATATCCGATTTGCTTCTTTATATGAACTTCTATGATTGATCCTTTTACCAAAGTTCATATTGAGTTAAAAAGCATTTGGCTGCGATTATACTCCAGGTGTCACGTTTGTACTCTCCTTGATTAATCTGAAATAATCCACTGTCTGCAGTAGGAGTGGCAAATTTAGCCACGGTGTGGGTGTGCATATAACTGTATTTTTGATATTCTACAGATGGATGGATTTACATGCCAAGCAGTGAAAACGAGTAACAGAAAAACGCATGTTGGAGAAATGGAGAGCTATACTTTGCTTGTCTTCATGGAACAATAAAGAGCAGGGTATGTACACAGAATTTATCATTTTATACGAAACCTTTACATGCATATCTCAAAATTCAAACCAAGCTCATAAATCCCAGTAAAACACTTACACATGAGCAGCACAAGCCCACGATAGCCAGGGACTCCAAGATCCCAGCAGTGCCAACAATCCAGGTCAGCCGCAAAAACAGGATGACCCCCAGAATGTTCTGAAGGCATGGGAGGTACACACCCATGAAGGTCCCCATCTGAGGACTCTGTCGAAGGGGTAGAGGGGGTAGGACATGAGGATATGGGAGAAAAATTTGAACAAAATCATTTAAAAACCCTTTTTTTTGTTGAGAGATAATGAAGAGAAGTAAGAAGCAGGGAGAAAAGAAAGATCCACAAGATCAAAACCACAACACAAAAATGGATAGAATAAACCAGAAGGGTAAACGGGAATAAAAATAAAAAAAAGAACTGCTTCCTTGTGTTTTTCTGGACTGGGACTGACCAAAATGAAAAATCAAAATGACTGATGACAATCAGTCAAATACTGCCTTAAACCCATGAACACACGTAGTTATCATGTGGAGTCCTGATCAAATAATAACAGTAGTTGAAGCCTTATAAATTGTTTAAAGGACTAACAACCACTTTATTGCTGTATATTAACAAACAAGGAGGATCCAACGAATGCACTGACAGGAATGTGAAGACATCTTAAGATGGATATTTGTCTGAAACACAAGACGGTATTTCAAATGACAAAGGAACTGAGAACATACACAACTCTAGTTTTCAATATATTAGCTATCCAGCATTGTAACTCTTGTTATTGTATTAAAGCAAAACTCTATGTTCATTATAAAGAAGGATCAACATGCAGAAAGGCAGAAGTGCAAAAACATCAGACCAAACTTCATATTAATAACCAGCTCTGATTTTTGGGGCTTCTTTGAACTGTACAGAACAGGTCCTGGTACTCTAAACAAAAAGGAATGCTGATGGTGTGTGCATCATTTAGCTCATATACTTCATCCTCTCATTTCCAGATGCTGTAAGTCAGTGGGAGGTGCCCCAGGCCTGTTTCCATGCAAGGGACAGAACGGGGAAAGTGACATGGGCCTGAAGTTGTGGTAAGAAAACATCTCTGTGCTGCATGGCAGGACTTTGGAAAGATATCCAGAATATGAGCATTGATGGCTGCTTACAGACATCAGCTCTGGAATAATTCATACAGACATATGAGCTGTTTCTTTTCCCATTGCATTTTACTTAATATCTCTGTGACATTAATCGACAACTAAACTTACTCTTTCAAAGCTTTTTAAGATGCAGGTCAGAACTTGAATGAGTTTGCAGTGAGTTTTTTTCACAGATTTCCTTTTGTGTTGTTAGAAAGTTAGACTAGGTTTCACAAGTGTAAAAGGAAAAAAATAGCATGGAGGACTGAAAGGCCAATGAGGTACATATCCAGAATATGATTAAAAAAATATTTGAAAAAACAGTGCTCGTTTTGAACAGCTTTCTCCAACTTCTGCAAACAGTAGCTCACTGTTACGGACATCTGGCTTTCAGCTTTACCTTAACAGCTTTCTTCTTTGGACTCTCATCTTCATCAGCATCCTCATGGTCCTGGGCTCCCTGGGTCAGGTTTGTGTAGTTTGCCAGTTTATTGAGAAGTGATGACACCATGGGGTTGCTGTCCATCTCCTCCTGCAATTGACAGACCATTCTTACCAAACCATACTACAGCAGTGCATTCAGGAGTCTTTTTGCTCCTTATTTAACAAATATATACATGTAATGAGGCAGTCACTCTGACACACTATGCCCTTCAGATAAACTGCTGAGTATGTCCAGATGCTACCAGGTGATGTTGGTTTTTGTTTTCCTGTTACCAGTTGCTGGCACAGTGTTGTTTTTTTTCTGCAGGAAATGAGTTTAGTTCTGTAACTGTTCAGAAGATGGAAGGGGGCCGCTGGACCAACTTCATACAGTGTGGAGACAAATATAGGCCATTGGGGTTATTCAAAGTCCAGTGACCACAGACGCTAAACGGCAGAGGAATGCATGTGGCAAAAGTTCAGTTCAAACTTGAACTATTTATAGAATTCTTTTCCTTGAGGAATAACCACAGAGAGACATTTCTTTGTCTGGTAAAAGTTGTCCTTGCTCTGCGTACACTGACTACTTTTAAGTGATGGCAAAAAAGCCCCCAGAAATCCAAAGGTTACCTCGAAAAGTGCCATGTTGGTACCATCGTAGCTGTTGCCTTTGTCATGGTCTGTGTTGTTGATGAAGGGACTGTTTTCCTTTGGCACTCCATCACCTGTAAAAAAAAAAGTGAAGTTATAAGTTTTACAGTACAGCATATATTTTTTTTAATGAAGTGATTAAGTATGCAATAAAGCTTACTTAATGCAAGTTCAAAAATATTTTGGTAATAGCTGCTCCAACTCTAGCTCAGTTCAAATGATCAATCCTTCCAACAAAAACTGATTTTGAAATTATCAAATAAAAATAATAGTGTCAATCTTTTCTCAGTTTTTTCAATATCCTGAAGAATCTTTGAGATTTTGGCAAGATAAATAATAGCATATTAAGTCAGGTAATAGGCTTTCCCATTGTTGTGGTGCTACATTTTCAGCTTTTCATGATTTTTATTTATGTTCTCCTTATTGGGCCGTACTTATTCACCCTGTTAGTAAAAGTGACAAGAACATTCATATTTAGGAGACTGAAATGGCTGAAAGCACAGGGGCTAGGACTAAATAATTTCTCGACTGAGTGATCAACTGAATATTAGCAAGTTATTGTTTTCTCTTGAAAACAAAACAAACACTAAACATGCTAAGGAGTTTGGATTTTTGAGTTAAAAAACTTTGAATTGGATCCAACGATATCCAAAAAGTTAGCATCCACTGCATAGTTTTAAAAAAGGCCATTCTACAGTTTTGATGATCATACAGGCTGGCCGGGAATCCAACCTGAAACAACTTTTGCTCAATCTCCTTCATCTTTGATTATGGAAGCCATTCTCTGTGGAATTGTTTAGAAAAGTTCATGCAGTATCACAATCTTTACTTCCATGCACACTTTGTATTGTTTGAGATTAAAGATGGATAGATGGAACTCTGTGTAAAGTCTATTCCAAGTACATCCTAAAGTTCAGGGTGGGTTATAGTTTGAATCCTTTGGTGGCATGTCCATGTACGCCACTTGTTCCTTCATCCACTCCTTCACAGCTTGACCCTGATTTATCCTGTCTTGTTGCTCAGAAAAAACCAGACAGACATTCACTGGTTTAACTCCTGGCTTCCATGTGCCACTTATGCTCACTACTGTGTTGGTATATGAATCACTGTCTAGATTAAGATGTGGCTGTGGTATGAAGTGTTAAAGAGCTTTGAGTGGTCAAGGAGAATAAAAAGTCCTATATAAACACTGACTTTTTTTAAATACTTGAGAAATTTGTTTAGAAATTAATGTTGATACGAGATTAAAAATACGGAAACATATTTTAAGTCAAGCCGATATTTAACTTATAGGTGATGATAGAAGATCAAATGGGAATGCATTTACTATTGTGAAGCTGCTTCGAAGCTAAAGGAATGATATTGAAATAATACAGCAAATTGTCAAAATCAAAGTTCTACAGGAAAAGTTTATAACCCGTTTTCCAACAAATCTTGATTGTTCACATCTACCCTCATAAATTGATGACAAGTTCAATTTCTGCTGGGCCCCTGTCAAGTCTTCAACAGAACTGTCTGTGGGGAACTCTAGCTGCAGAGGGATTTCATGGGTAACTTTTACTGCTTGATCCAGCTGCCGGGGGAATAAGAGGCTTGTGGCACGGCTTAGTGGGCTGGTAATCACACAGAAAGTCATTATGTCCTTGTACTGTGTGGCTCTTTAAATAAAGCATGAGCAGGATAGAAGAAAATACCAGCTGAATACACAATTTTCAATGAATATGGATAGACGACAAGACTTTAAAATGAGATCAACTGGGTAGAGGGGGTGCTGCTAACGCTGAATCAGCCTGTCACTCATAACCTAGCTATGTCAGACAGCACACACCACTGATTTATTTTCTAACTGTGACGAAAGTAACTACATTTTTTTAGACTAATCTCCACAGTAAAGGTGAAAGGTTTCCAAATCTGGTATGCTTTCTCAGGACATCTCTCCATGTAGAGTCATTTAGAAGTCAATAAGAAAGTGATAATGTGAGACAGAATCACTTCAAATAAATTTGCGGGAATTTGCTTTGACAATTTCGGTGGTGTGGTGGTTAGCTCCGTCGCCTCACAGCAAGAAGGTTCTGGGTTGGAGTCCCGGGGGAACCAGGACCTTTCTACCAGAGGGTTCTGGGTTGGAGTCCCGGGGGAACCAGGACCAGAGGGTTCTGGGTTGGAGTCCCGGGGGAACCAGGACCTTTCTGGGTGGAGTCTGCATGTTCTCCTGTGTCTGTGGGTTCTCTCCGGGTTCTCCGGCTTCCTCCCACAGTCCAAAAACCTGCATGTTAGGTTGGTTGGACTCCAAACTGCCCTTATGAGTGAATGTGAGTGTTCATGGTTGTTTGTCCTTGTATGAATAACCCTGTGATGGACTGGGGACCGTCCAGGGTGACCCCGCCTCTCGCCCATTGACCACTGAGATAGGCTGCTGTCCCCCCCGACCCCATTAGAGAATAAGCAGTAACAATAATGGATGGATGGATTTTATAATGCAATATGTCCTACAAGTTCAAAATAATACCAAGTGGTCTATATATGTGGCAACAAATTTGTCCCACCCCATGATGTTAAATCATTGACCTCACATTGCAATTGCATATCACCATTCAAAACAAGAAATAGTTGTCATTTGTAAAACACTGCAGTTCCTCTATTGTAGTGATTAATGAGGAAGACAATGTTTTCATCTAGTTCTTTCCCAAAAATATTGCCATCAAACACTCAACACAAAAAAGGGAGAATGAAAAATCAAGCTGTATTAATTACAGGTGCCTCATTCTTAAAACATTGCACAGGATCTATACTAAAAATGTACATATGCCCATGTGTAAAATGGCGTAAATCCAAAGAAAATCCAGCTTTATAAAGCCATGTAATTCACAGCCGGACTGGCAACCTGGCCTTGGTGTACCCTGCCTCTCGCCCAATGTCAGCTGGGATAGGCTCATCCTACTGCACCTTCATGTTTGAGTGAAAGGTTCCGCCTACTGTTCCACCCTTTACACGTCCACATTCAACCAGAAATGTCAACATGTGTTTCAATGAGGCAGCCAATCAATGTTATTTCATAGTTACCACTGGCAACTCCAGATAAAAGAGCAAAAACCAAGACAGAAATCTGTGCGTTGGTGATAGATAGATAGATAGATAGATAGATAGATAGATAGATAGATAGATAGATAGATAGATAGATAGATAGATAGATAGATAGATAGATAGATAGATAGATAGATAGATATCTTGTAGTGCTGTGAAGCATTGTGAGTGGCAACAAGTTGTTACACATAACTGTGCTGAGTTCATCTGGAAAACAATACTTTGCTCGTATCCAGCCTGGACCTGGTTCAACCCAAAGATCCAAGAGTATTGCACTAAGGAGTCTATATTGGCATATTGGCTAGGTAAACGTTGGAGGACCCTGAAAATACTTTTCCTCTTCAGTCTCCCATTTGAATGGTTTTAAATAAGTGCTGATGCATCCATCAGACTGGTATTTAAATATCTAAATGTTTACAGCACTCGGTGGGATTGGCCTTTTCTTCTATTTGGATTATCCTTATGTATTGTTATGCCTCACCTGTTAGGATGCGGGGGGTGAGGGGAAGGATCCAAATGCAAGCCAGCAAAGAAAAATGATTGATTTGATTTAAAATGTTAAAACCAAGAAACCGACCTGAAAAAGTAACACAGAAACACACATGACACTGACAGGGGAACTGGACCAGAGGCATGTTCAAGACTTTTATTTGCCGCAAACACAATTATACAAAGTAAAGCGTGCAGCAAAAAGTATTATGCACCTGTTCCACACTAAAATGATAATAGATACATACGGTAAGAGTCTGGCAAGGATTGAGAAGATTTGTAGCATATATAGTGGGGAGTGGAATTACTGAACTAAGAGTGGGTGAAACAGGAACAACAGGTGGAGAGAACTGAGTTGATAGAGAAACACTTAAGACTGAGGAGAAGTGAAGCAAACAGAAAGACACAAGAGGGAGCCTAACCTAGAAAATAAACCATAAAAACAACAGAAACCCAACAAGACAACCATGCCCTCTGGGAAGAGGTTTCGCAGCATCCGCTGCAGGTCCACCAGGCTATACAACAGCTTTTTCCCTGTTGCGAGAGGGAATTCTGGGTCTCCCTGCTTCAGCTGCTGCCCCCGCGACCCCACCCCGGATAAGCGGCGGAAAATGAATGGATGTTCTTGTCTTAAGCTGTATGCAATGAAATTTCGTTTTGTGTGTACTCCGTACACACAAAATGACAGTAAAGTTGTCTGTGTCTATGTCTATGTCTATGTCATAAATAACACAAAGTCAATCTATGATTTAAGTACAATATGGAGGGAAGTTAAATGTCTAGGAGGAATCATGATGCAGTGTAGCTTCAGTGTCCACATTTTCCCGTGAAGAATTTTTTTTATGGATCACAGCCTTTGCATGGAATTTGCTGCTAATTTCAGGCTCTGGTTTGTGCGTGCGCAACTTGTATACATGAGAATCCTGGTGCATAGAGCAAAAAAAGCACCCTGCCTTTGGATAGCACTACCTATTCCATCAGTCTTTGTTAAACATCTAACTTCTTTTTCTGTCAAATGACTAAATCATCACAGAGACAACTGTAAAAGTTGAAGCTCATTAAGAACTGACAAGGCTACAGTCTGTTTCTCTCCCTCAAGCATCCTTCACAACCCCCACCTGACTTGTAGGTATAGGGATTTGGGAGTTTTTATAAACACTACTACCAGAAAAGGACATAGCCAACCGGAACAGTTAAAAGTAGAATTGGCAGCATTTACTATAAAACAACACACAATAGGTATACATCTGTAAGTACATTTTCAATATTAGTGATAACATTGTTGAAATAATTAATTTACTTTAGATGTGATTGATTTAGCCACAAATATTTTGGTTTGTGTGACAGAGAGGGTATGGGAAGTAGGACATTTTAGACATTTAGACAAAACAGACAATAATATAAAACGTCTAAGGTTGTTCTGGGTATTTGAACATCTATCTATTTTCCATGACAACTTAATCCAATTCATGATCAAGGGGGGCTGAAGCCTGTCCCAGCT